GTGCTATTCTTTTACCAACGAATAGTGGGATTGACCTTCACATATAACGTCCCCACGGCTGAAAGGGCGAGCATGTTTGGTGTGACGGGGATTCGAACCCGCGAATCAAGTGCCTTAACCACCTGGCCATGCCGGGCCATAATGAGAAATGAAAAGTTTAAAAAGAATAAACAAGAAAGTTTTAGTGAAAAGTACTGGTAAAATTTCATACGAATATTTTTTTTTCATACGTTTAGGAAATTATGTAATAACTACCATTGACTATGAATTACCAAAAAAAACGTGTATTATATTTATATTTTCCTGATCCTAATGTTTAATAAAAATGTATTATTAATAGTTACTAGCACTATACCATGCCGGGCCCCGAGTAAAGCAGTTCTAAGATATCTATATATCTGGCATACGTGTGTGGGTGTATTATGAAACTATTTAAATGCCTTTAGAACCATGGCTCAGTCAAACTTCTTCTGACTGTTTACATAGTAGCAAGTATGGACTTTTTTTTTAACATTCTCATAACAAGCTGACAGACGAAACAGTTTGTTTTCAGTTAACTAGTGCATTAAGTTGAGAAACTCACATCTGCTCATCTTCTCTTCTCTAATCACACGTAGTGAGCTTTGATTTATTTCATTGATTAATATTTCGCAATAAACCATTAGCACATTTTCAAGTCATCTTCCTAAGTAAGCATTGATTTAGTTTATAGGCTAGATACACATTTTTGTATGGTTGAGAAAAATAGAAGAATGGTCAACTTGCACCGTGTGATTTGCGACGTGTTTTTTTTATTATCATTATTTTAAGCAACAAAATATCGTTCAGCGTATATGTTGGAGCATAGGTATACTGAGAAGAATCAAGGCCCTATTGTGATAATTTATCATCAGCTCACGTTTTTATAATCTAGAATTTAAATCTAGTTTAGTGAAACAAATGAAAACGCGGCCACTTATGTTTATAAGTTGCACCAACTTCAGAGTAAAACGCATCCAAATATGGCTGTGGCATATATATAAAGGATATCATCATCATCAGTAAATTCCTTTGAGGGGTCTTCCCTTGGGCAACATTTAGGGGTGGTAGATCTTATTTTGACAGAAGCAGTCCCTATGGTGTTGAGGTTTCAAAGGAAGGACTCATAGGTAGTAAACAAACTCAGAGATAATGTTTTTCATGATCCGCTACATCACTTAAACAAAAAATGTATCCAAATTATTACCAATGCGAATGATGTGTGCTTTCAGGATGTGTCGCAGAGGTATTAGAAACGAAAGAACAAAACTACTTCTTAATTAACTACAGCCGTAATATAAATCAAAAACACATTTTTCCAAGTATCTAATAACAGCAAAATGATTAGAGGCAATGAATGAAATTAGCTAATTCAAGCTAACAGACCTCGTATTGGGTATTGCTGCCAATCCGAAAAGAAGAAGCCGACACTGTGTTAAGATGGGTAGTGGTCAACTCAGCACAAACTGGCTCAAGTGTAGAATGACATGACACTGTTAAGTTAGGCTACTCGGTGGCATAGCTGTTTGTGAATTATTGATTTAAAAGCCATAAAATTGAAGGTTTGTAAGTAAATATTTGGCTTTTTCAAGCTATAGGGGGCAAAAGTTGAAAAGGAAGGTAGAATGAGCTTCACTTTTATTGTTGTGTTAATTGTTGATTTTAGTCTAATTACTTCACTTTTATTGCTGTGTTATTCGCTAATTTTATCCAATTTACTTCACTTTTATTGCTGTGTTAATTGCTAATTTTACTCTAATTACTTCACTTTTATTGCTGTGTTATTTGCTAATTTTACTCTAATTACTTCACTTTTATTGCTGTTTTAATTGCTAATTTTACTCTTATTACTTCACTTTTATTGCTGTGTTAATCGTTAATTTTATTCTAATTACTTCACTTTTATTGCTGTGTTAAATGCTAATTTTAAAAAGTGAAGTAATTAGAGTAAAATTAGCATTTAACACAGCAATAAAAGTGAAGTAATTAGAGTAAAATTAGCATTTAACACAGCAATAAAAGTGAAGTAATTAGAATAAAATTAACGATTAACACAGCAATAAAAGTGAAGTAATTAGAGTAAAATTAGCAATTAACACAGCAATAAAAGTGAAGTAATTAGGATAAAATTAGCGATAAACATAGCAATAAAAGTGAAGTAATTTGGATAAAATTAGCATTTAACAGAGCAATAAAAGTGAAGTAATTAGAGATTGCTGTGTTAAATGCTAATTTTACTCTAATTACTTCACTTTTATTGCTGTGTTAAATGCTAATTTTATTCTAATTACTTTAAGTAGGACTATTGATATAGTCAGCCAAAATAGTTATAGTAGAAATAAGAAAGCTATTTTTAATACTATGTGATGCTTCCAAAACTAACTAAGGTTACAGTAGTGTTATTATAGGCTCTTATTATAAATAAACGAAGTATAAGTTATTCTATAGGAAAATGAAGTATTAAATTTGACCCTGATAGAGTGCTTTTCACACCTGTTCTTCACTATGTTGAGGAACACTCAAAGTTTATTACTTTATTTATGATTTTCGTATTCAAAATATGTATCTCAAGTTTCATTAGTGTTCAGTTATATAACAAGACACTAACTAACCTGAACCTAAACCTGTACCGGGCAGAAAATGACTAATATTTACTCTAACGTGCTTCAGCAGGAAAATAAAGTTTAAATTCTCTTGTTTTTGAAGATAAGCACAAAGATACAAAATTGGCTCTCTGAACTCTGCCCACCAAGGGTATCAAAACCCGGTTTCTAGAGTTGTTAGTCCACAGACATACCGCTGTGCCACTGGCGGGCCACTTCTCTTGAAATTACTACTAAAGTTACACGCTTTTTCTCTCTTTTCCATTAGTTGTATTACATTTTCAGTTGTTAAACAAAAGCAAAATAACGTTGTAGTGCTAGAGAGGGTTTCAAATTTTGGCTACATTTATTGCAATGAAAGTGAACATAACTTTACCATCATTTCCATTAGCCTTATCGGAGCTGTGGTTTATAGGCAATAACCATTTTAAGTTGTCTTCATCCAGCGGATGATGTTAATACTCAAGCTTCTTGGATCTGACTGGCAACAGGCGCCACTTCTGTTTTGGAGTGGTGGTAATTCATTTCTTTAAGAAAGAGACTGAATTTATCAACAAGGTCGAAGGGTTGCAGGATAACTGTATACTGGCCTTGAGCTATCGGTCGACTAGCTAGGTTCCTGTATTTATAATAGTCGACTTAGTGTACTTTCTCAGACCACATTCACTTCTATCAACAATTTGATCATTCTGGCCTAATTTACTGCTTTCAATTTGTCATCTGTGTTTATCTCCTTGGTTATCTTTCAACTGTAAATACGGAGTATTTATTCTAGGATAAGCTAGAATCTCTTGTGAAAATTACTAGTAGATTCATTTTTCCATTTGAGTCGGTTAAGGAAGAAAACGTGAATATGATTAAAACGAAAAACAATTATCACAAGAATAGTGACGTTGATCGTTGGTTAAAATTTTATTTTTATG